GACCACCAACTGATGTTTCTCCTATGCATGATTTTTTCCTGGCCTTCGGGCCCACTTTGCCTCCCATGCAGCATGCCCGAACTGGTGGGAAAGAGCCCCCCGGAGCACCCCAGCTCTCTTGTCCCGTGGGTGGAGTCCCTCTGAGACGTCTTCTCCTCTGGCTCCCAGATTCCCAGGTGGGGTTGAGCTCCAGATGTTCACAGGTGTGGCTGGTTTGGTAACACACTCTTTGTGGGCTGCCCTTCCCCCTCTCTTCCCCATGCTCCACTCATGTTTCCTGTGCTGTCTAAATAAAATCCTGGCCTCAGGTCTGCTTCGGGGGGAATCCAGACTAAGACAGAACGAATTAATGAATTAAAACCCTGGGTATAAATTCTCGCTCCACCGCTTTGGCAGACTACACCCCTTGCTACGCTTCGGTCTTCCTTCTATGACATGGGTGTCACCGCAGCGCTCGCCCCCCAGGGCTGTGGGGAGCAGTGGTAGTGTGAAGGTGCCCTGGTTCTCATGCCGCCGTCTTTCTTACCATCCGCTATGGGCAGGTGCGGCGGATGCTCTGCCCACTGGCCTGGCGCCTGGGGGTTCACCCAGTGCATCTTGGGTTGGTTCTCAGCGGCTTCCCATCAGCCTTCCTCTCAGAGGCTCTGTCTGTGCAAAGGAAACATCAGAAGGCTTGGCTGCTAATGAGGCCCCAAGTTCTCCAAAGGTTCATGTTCTCTGACTTTGAATACCACGGTTCCCACTTAGCCCTCCTGTTATTTCTCCAGCTGACAGAAATGTGAAGGGAAATCAATTTCAGCCCTCTCACCCGCATCCAGGGGTCGGCCTTCAGTCTCTGCCTTTGTCAAGCAGCCACAGTGACCCATTTTAGGCCCCCAACTTGGCGAAAGAATGAGACTCACCCGCTGGATTTTGAGATGTGCTCTCTTGACCCCTCACAGCTGCCCAGAGCACTAAAAGTTCTCGCAGAGCTTGAGAAACTTGCCAGAATAAGTCAGAGCCCCTTGAACTCATCTCTCCCCCTTAACAAAAGCAGCCTCCTCCCTCCTGAAAGGCGCCATTGTCACTGGAACAAGCCACCTTTGTTCTCCTCTGCAGCTGGAGCCTGGGCTGCCATCTCCTCGGGGCTGGCAAAACCCCAGAGTCAGCCAGTCTCCTTCCCTGGCTCTGTCCAGTAGCAGGCACGATCGTGGTGACACGTGTCTGTTGAGATGTTCTCAGATACAAGGCGATGCTCCTATTCCATAAAAGGGACAACTTGAGCCAGTGTCAGAGACACGATGGTTGCTTATTGGCAGATGGGACTTGTTCAGCCCCTAAGCAGGGACCCTAAACTCAGATGCCTGCAGGGGCCAGGCAGAGGCATAAGAAGCAGTTGTAAATAGTAGGGAGTGATGGGGACTGGGGAACCGGAGAGCACCCAACCTACAGCTGTCAGGGACCCCATTCAATGAATTCCCCCCCCCGCCCACCGCGCCAGCTTTTTTAATAACAACCATGAGCCAAACAAAATAGCTGTGTTAGCCAGATCCAGTTTACAATCTCTTCAAATTTTCAATGTGAAGACAGGTATTAAGAGGTAAATTCATTTATCCATTCATTTATTTATTCAACAAAGGTTTTTTGGCATTTACCACGTGCGAAGGAACTGTGCTGAATGCTAAGGGTTCTGGGTTAAATTTGACACGGCTACTTCCTTAAAGAGCTCACAGCTGTGTGACATGGCTGCGGAGGGGCGGGGGGTGCAGGCAGCAGGGGGAGGGGCGGTAGTGACACTGACCTGAAAACAGGTAACTGTGGGACACTGAGGGAAATGCTAACCTCGGGCACTGGAAGGAACCTCAAGTGCCTGGAGGAAAGAGTAACTACGTCAAGGGCAGAGGTGACAGTGGGGTGACAGCACATCTGGGCCGAATTTCCTAGGGCAAGAAG